CTAAGGAAGAGGGGGAGCTGTAAGATAAGGCACCACATGAGGGGACATGCAGTGAGATATCTGAGGAGGCCTGTGGAAGGTAAAACCCCCGAGGACACATGCTCCTGGACAGAGGTGTCTCACATCCTGGCGGGGTTCACCTCTGGGGGATCTGTCACAAGTGGAGGACCCATGCTGGAGCAGTGGTGGCAGCACACAACCCCCATCTCCTGTGCTGCTGACAGCTCCCTGAAGGATTGGGGTTGTGCAGAGAACAACCAACAGCATTTTTGCTCTAGGCCAAGCAGGAGGGGAGGAGAGGTGTGTAGCTTGATTTGAACCCAGGAATTGGGGAGGAAAGTCTTTACTGAAGTGTTTAATCGCTTATTATCTCTTTTCATCTCAATACCCGATTAGAAGTCTGTGTTAATTGGCAGTTAACTACCTTGTTAAGTAAAAATTCGGCAAGTTGAGGCTGTTGTGCTGAGGACACATTGCCTGAATATCATATCCCTTCCCACTGCCTCATCCTCCCCAGAACCACGAGGAAGAAGTGTCTCTTTGCTGTCCTGGAGGGACCAAGCTGGCATCTCTGCCCAGAGAGCTGGGGAGCTTGGTGCCACAGTAACACTCCTGCCCTGACTGACTGTAGGACTAAGGGATGGGCAGGAGGGGAGGAAGGAAACCACCTCTTTCCTTCCTGAAGCCTGAAAACCAATTGCCAGCAAATGAGATGTATCTCTGATGCCACATTTGCACCCTCTGACCCGCACTTCTCGGTGCGGAGTCATCTCAGGTGCTTCTCCACTGAAAATTGGTTCTTTTCAGGAGCATCAAAACTACTTTCAAGATCTTTATGCTAGCACAGAGGTCCACAAACAGCCCTCTCAGCTCCCCAGAGCACCAAGGGGCTGAGGAGCACAGTTCACCTGGGGTCAATGCATCTGCCCAGCCCTGGGGAGATGTGGAAGTGCCTTTCCCTGCCTGTGTGCCCAGCGCCTGACTTCGCCTGTCACAGCTCAGCACTGCCCCCACCTCTTCCCATTGCTTTTTCACATTTCATTTATTCCTGCCCGCAGGAGCTGGGGAGGAGTCTGGTGTGTGTGTGTGGCATCTCTTGCAGCGTGGGGCTGGGCCAGGTGGCAGCAGGCCTGGCTAGCAGGTGACACGCTTTCAATGTCCAGAGCTAACAAACCCTTTGCCTCAACTGATCCAAAGAAATAAGGTGCTCACTCTCCTCTCCTGCTTGACTGCGTATTCCCTGCATCTCACTTCATTTGATGACTGGTGTATTTAAGTCATTTCCCTCACCAGCATAAGTAGGAGCAGTTTCAGGTCACCACTAAATTCCTGCATATAATGTCATGGGGAAAAAAAGATTACACAAGTCTGCTCAAAATATAAAACAAAATATGTGTACTAGAATCGAGTATAATTTCTCACTAGTGGGGTAAAAGAGGGCTAATATTTCCTTACTAGAAAGATTAGACTGAGCCACAGAGAAAAGTCACTTTTTTGAAGGTTATCTAGTTGTGAATCTCTATCCGCAAGCCTACACTGCTTTTAAAGAAAGTTTAGAAATTTTCACTCTACTACCCAGTCACAAAATCACAGCTTTAGGACAGAACTGATTGTAATCCTTAGCCAGCCATGGATTTCAAGGTTCATCTATCAGAAAATCGTCCACAGAATAAAATTCTTAAAATACCAGTTTGCATGTCTTTTGTACCAAACACACTTGTATTCAGTGACTAGGAAAATCCCCTCCCCTCCAGAGGCCTCATTTCCAGTTTTACAAGGCACTATATCAAACAAAATAGCCTTTTATGTGCATATACTGACTTTAATAAATAAGTAAATACATATATACACAGATACATTAACCTACACCACTGGGACACAGCATTAGAGTTTTGGAACTTCACTCCAAGCTTAAGGCACTTTCAAAACACAAATGTCTTTAGAAGAACTATGTTACCTCACAGATGATGGGCAGAAACCTTGCCACCTCTAACTTCAAGCACAAAGTTTACCAGTACGTATGTGATGAGACATTTGAAGTGGAAACTAGCCCTGGGCTTCCAGAGGTGTAGCTCAGGGCAGTGACAATTCCAGCTCAGCTACCTTTTTCCACCATTCCTAAGCAAGGCAGCATGACGAGAGCATCATTTGCCAAAGGGGAATCCTGGCTGGGAAACTGCAAATTCCAATTTGCAAGACTGAAATTCCAAGGTCGCTAGAAAAATGTTCCTCCTCATTGCTCACGGGAACCAAAATTGGTTTTAACTTCCCATACATCTAGAAACCAAACAGCTCAGCTAATAAAACACTTCATTGCCTACACAGTAAGAAAGCAAAACCTGCACAGCGGTATCACTGCACTGACAGAGAGCTCGCAGTTCTCCTATCACAGCTGACAGGGAAGTTTTCAGATGCCTGCTTTTGTGAGATTTCAAAACAGAGTTTCATTTTTTAAACACAAGCAGCCAACCAAATATTTGCACGTTACTCCCTCTCCTTG